GAAAGAGAAGAAAGAGAGAGAAGAGAGGGAGTTGAAAGAGAAGAAAGAGAGAGAAGAGAGGGAGCTTAAAGAAGAGAAAGAGAACAGAGAGAAAGAAGAGAGGGATCTGAAAGAGAAGGAAGAAAAAAAAGAGAGGGAAGAGAGGGAACTGAAAGAGAAGGAAGAGAAAGAGAACAAAGAAAGAGAAGAGATGGAGCTGAAAGAGAAGGAAGAGAAAGAGAAAAGAGAGAGAGAAGAAAGGGAGCTGAAAGAAGAGAAAGAGAAAAGAGAGAGAGAAGAAAGGGAGCTGAAAGAAAAAGAAGAAAAAGAGAAAACGGAGAGAGAAGAGAGGGAGTTGAAAGAGAAGGAAGAGAAAGATAGAGAGGAGAGGGAGTTGAAGGATAGAGAAGAGAGAGAGAAGAAAGAGAGAGAAGAAAGGGAAAAGAGGGAGCAAGAAGAGAGAGAAATAAAGGAAAGAATGGAAAAAGAAAGAATAGCGGAAGCGTTGAAGGAGAAGGTAGAACAAGAAAAGGAGAGGGAAGCTAAAGAAAATGAGGAGAAGGAAAAGCTAGAAATGGAACTCAAAGAGAAGAAAGAGCAAGAGAAAATGATTGAGATGGACCACAGTGCTTCAGATCTGCCTGTGGACATAGAAGCAAAACAAGAAAGAGAAAAAGCTGTCATAAATACATCTGAAGAAATTACTGGAAACACGAAGGAGAAGTTTAATGAAGATATGTTGAAGAAGGAATGTGAAGTTGCAGATGTGTCAAAAGAAATACCAGAGACCCATGCCGCAATAGAATCAGTGGTCATGGTTGAAGATGACTTTATCACTGTGGTCCAGACAATTGATGAAGCTGAAGAACCAGGACACAGTGTTCGTTTCTCTGCAATACCTGAAGCCGAAGCTCTTGGTGTTTCTACCCTGAAAGAAGATGAGCCAGAAGAAGAAGAGCCAGATGAAGACGAAGAAGAAGAGTCTGTGGAGTTGGCCCAGGAAGCGGATATGGAGGTGGCCAGTCTAGAGGAAGTGGGTGATGTTCCTGAAACCCCTGCTTCTCCAAGAAGGGGGACACAGACCGTAGACACAGAAGGACCAACAGAGAGCTATGACCGAGATGAAACCACAGTAGATGACTCCATACTGGATAGCTCCTGGGTAGACACACAAGGTGAGATCCCCTTTATTGTTTGTTCTGTCATGATGTTTCATTTAATTTATTTTCTTTTGGCTGTTTCAAACTGTGTGTTTGATGCATCTTTTTAAAAACACAGATGATGATAAGAGTATGGCCACGGAGCTTATCGAACCTTTGCCAAAGGTGCCTAGCCCAGTCAAAAAGCCTCCTGTGGCCCAGAACAAACAACGGATGACAGAGAAACAAGAAAAGCCAGTGAAACACAAGGCTAAAGGAGGGCGAGCAAAAGGACGGATCTCCACTCCTGAACGCAAACCTGTCCGTAAAGAACCTGTCTATACACCTCGAGAAGACATTAAGAAGAAGAAAGGTTATCATCTAAACATTGATATCTTAAGCTACAAGCATTGAAACATGTTTTATCACATTGTGGTAATAAATACTGTTATGTAACCCATGTACCTATTTAATCATCAGCATTTGATTATTTTTTCTGTATAATGCCCCAACAGAATAAATAAAACACATAGATATTATGGGATGTTTTATCCCTTAATTATTAAGATTTTAACATATCGCTCAGCATTGTTGTCTGCATATTGTTGTCACAAGCCTTGTTTCTTTTGATAATGTAGCTGTCGTAAAAAAGACTGAGCTCACCAAAAAAGTAGAGTCTCAGACTCTGTCTCCATCCACGAGGAGTGCCATGAAGCCAACAGTTCGCCAGACACGTCCCGTCCAACATCATTCCTGCCCCCGAAGGAGACCCACAGGTGACATTACTTTTGGCCTATTCCTCAGCTGGTGTTTCCTCTAGGAGTCACTGGAGCACCATTTCCCATCATCACATCCATCTTGTAGTGTCAGATTTTGTTGGTCTTTGATGTCCATTTCATTTTTATTGGTTATTGTTTTTTATTCATAATAAAAAAATAACCTTTGTAAATGTTTCATTTGGCTTAATTTCTCTTTTTGGGTTTTCTTTTTTGTCGCTTTTTACATTGGATTCATGTTTCCTTACTTGAAAGAGTAATTTAATACAAGTCTCTTATGTTGTTTCCTGTAAACGTTTATGCATCAGAATTAATTTGTTCACTGTGGATGTATAGATTTTTGATTAATTTGCTCTTTCGAAAAGCTTTGTCTTCTTTGCCAATGCATTTTTGGGCATCTGTATTCATTCTTTGCACCATTTGTGTTCTGTTTATTTGTCACAACAACTGCTCAGTTTCAGTGTAATTTTATTTAAATTTTTAAGGTATTGCTGTCTTGAGTTTTTATATACATCATAATCACACGGTAAATTTACTGCCCACTGAAGTTTAATAGAAGCTGTGAAGAACATGATGCTAAAAATGTCTGTACTGCTGCTCTGTCCCAGAGGCAGCTTGAAACTCGTTTTCTCTGATGCACTCACTTCTGTGTCACCAGTGATGAACACTCAGTGTACTGCTGCATTGCCCCAATTAGATTAATTTCCAGGGTTGACTTACATAATGCACAGTCCCCCATATAAACCTACAGAACTTTTTATTTCCACTAATTAATGTACCATAAATGTAACCATATAGTATATATACCATATGTTGCGAGGGTGAAATGATAATTGTCCAAAATAGGACATTTCAAAGGCGCTTACATCTTCTACTTTATTGCATGGAGGTTACATGTGCTCTGCATCATGGTTTTATTATTTTTTTGTCCTACAGAAGCCCCATCAGACAGTCGCCAGCCTCTCAGTGTTGCCAGACAGTCTCGTGACAGAGCATCTGTGAGTATGGCAACCAAAACAAACAGTGACATGACCTCTACACTGAAACCAAGGAGGAGAAACGCCTAATAAAATTCCTGTTAAATCGCAAAATCAGAGGGACAATACAAAATGATGAATTTTACATTATTGCACAAGCTAAAATCCATCAATATAAATTGGCTTGTGTTTCTGTTTGAGCACCTTTAAACAGTGTTCTTTTGATTATATTTTAAAGTATGTAAAAACTCTTTTGCACAATTGCATATTTTAAATATATGTAGTCAAGACAGATTCATATGGAGTATTTATTTTACTGAGTGGGTGTTGATCCACCCTGTGACATTTCTCTAGTGACTGTGGTCGTGACTTCATTTTACTCCTCCACCATGCTAATGACAGTTATTGTGTTTAAAATAACACATTCCTCATTTCTTAAATGTCATGTCGCTTTCACCGTACTGTAAATGTCTTTGAATACATTTATTAATATGTTCAACCATGCATCTGATGGCAGAACATTGTGTCCAGTGCTCCAAATTCATAATTTGGTTCACCATTTGGAAGTTTTGGAAATTTGTAAAAAAAATGTTTTTTATTGTTAAAAAAACAAACAAAAAAAAAAAACTTGTAAGATTCATATACTTCATTTTTCATCTTATTAAAGGTGTGCACTAATAGTGCTGTCATTTTCATCATTCTTTTGTTGATGTTCTTTTTATGCATGCTGTTCACATACTGGTCTGCTCCCCTACTGGTTATACCATTTCAGTGTCATGCTCATCGTTTGCCACTTACAAAGATTCCCATCTCCATATCCAGAACAACTGCCTCATTAGAGAGATGTCAAAGCTCCCCAGAATTTGACGCACCTATAGGCAAGGTAGGTGGATGGTAGGTTGGCAGGATGGCTGTGAAAGTTCTGACAGTAAAACAGTTTGTCGCAAACCTCAGAGCAGCATTTGAGACACTGTTCTATGGTAGCACTCTTGTTTGTATTTGTTAACAGGACGGTCGATCATGGAGCCCAGCCAAGACGTCCTCTGTCCCACGATATGGCTCCTATCTGAGTCGCCGTGCGTACCATGAGCATGAGGGCAGTTCTACTTCTATCACTAGCTCTGGCTCCACAGCTCCTCGCAGACCCACATGTAGGCAGACCAGCTCATTTCACTCAATAAGTTTCAGGAGGCAGTAGGTTTTCTAAAGCCTTTATCAGCTTCACAGCTGTCAGTATTTCACAAGGAGTATCTACTGTGCTATGAAGAGCTTGCTGAAAAGAGAAAAGCTTCTAGTAATCATTTGAAAAAAAAAAAACCTAATATGTGTAATGTTTCAGTGAGTAGTATTAAAAAAATTGGCATGGTTTTACTTTTGTGACTGAGAATAAACTACACATTGCTCTTTTCTTTTGGTAAGAAATATGAGATTATGTTTTTCTCAACTCCAACAAAGTTCAGTCAGGTCATCTGGATGGTTTCTTTTTTTTTGTTGTTGTTGTTGAGATGTTTCTTCCTTCATCCAAAGGACTTCATCAATCCGAGGAGCCACATACAAACCGAGTCCCACAAGCAGCACATTCACATAGTGGACCAACCAATTTGCTGGTGATAAGATGGTTTCTGGGGCCTGCCCTCTACCCCGTCGACTCCTCTGAGGCAGCCATAGTCAAAGTGGTTCAAAATGTCAAAGTTTGTGCTCAATAATCCAATTAGAAAACCCATGTAGGTCATTTGGCTATGGCTGCCTCAGAGGAGTCGACAGGGTAGAGGGCAGTCCCCAGAAACCATCTTATCACCAGCAAACTGGTTGGTCCACTATGCAAATGTGCTGCTTGTGGGACTCAGTTTGTATGTGGCTCCTCGGACTGATGAAGCCCTTTGGATGAAGAACGAAACATCGTAACAACAACAAAAAAATAAACCATCCAGATGACCTGACTGAACTTTGTTGGATTTTCTTCTGGATAATTGAGCATGAACTTTGATGTTTTTCTCAAATGATTTTACATACTGTAACTTTGTACAAATTCAAAGTTCAATGCAACTGAAAACCCAGATAACATTTCTTTTTCTTTTGCTTTTTTGATATTCCTTTCTTCAGCATTTCACACTGAAATGAGGGCAGAGCATAGGATAGGACGAGCCCCTAGTATGACAGGTAGGTGAACTTAAAAAAAAAATCTTTTTTTTTTTTTTTTTAATGACAGCACCACTGCTACAGTAGATTCTGCTAATTCTATTTTCATAGAACTGATTCCAAAATAAATGGGCTTGAATTTATATTTACACAAACTAACTTTTTTTGTTGCCACATTTCCAAATGCTCGTAACCTCACTGTTCAATATATATATACATTTTATTCGTGCATCAGTTGCAGAATCAGTTCGGTCCCGTTCCGCTCGCAGTGGCCGCTCCACCCCCCGTACCCCGGGCTCCACAGCCATCACCCCAGGAAGCCCTCCTAGCTACTCATCATCATCGAGGACCCCTGGGACCCCACGCTCCCTCAGTTTGATTTCCCAGGAGAGGAAGGTGGCCGTTATCCGCACCCCGCCCAAGTCGCCCGCAACCACTCCCAAGCAAATCCGCATCATCAACCAGCCGTTGCCCGACTTTAAGAACATCAAATCCAAGATCGGATCCACAGAAAATATAAAGTATCAGCCCAAAGGAGGACAGGTGACCACCTTTTTTTCTCACCCCCAAACTTTGTAGCTGGTCTCAAACTGCTTTCCTATTTCTGTCAGTCCTCTTACCATCCTACACATGTTTGTTTTTCCTGTGCATCTTTTATGTGGCATTTACTGAACACAGAAAAAAGATCATTATTATTTTTGGATACCAATACCAATGTTTAATGCAGAGTACAACAGTCCTTTTCAAGATGATCTAGATATCTACAAATAGAGAAACCTTTATATTAATGTACCACACACATTTCTTTGTGCCATTTTCAATCTTATCATACCTTTTCTCACTTTTACAATGTTATTTAGACTTTCTACAACCCTCCTCTCCTGTTTGTGTCCACATGTAACGGTTTGTAGTGTCTTAGTTTGCTATGTTAGTCCATTACTCATCTTGTTGATTCATCACAACATGAATACTGCGGGTTAGCTAGTAAAGAAAAAAGAAAAACTTTATCTCTCACTATTTTCTATTGAACTCTAATTGTGCATAGAGAAAACTTTTGTTACTGGGAGTTTGATATAGGCTTTCTACCTTCTAACAATTCAGTTTAATTCAGTTCAATGCAGTTTATTTATATAGCACCAAATCACAACAAAGTAGTCTCAGGGCACTTTACAGGAACATTCACATACATAGAAAAGCCAATTTGTAAAGTTCTTTATCTAAGGAAACCATCAGACATATTGAATCCTCACTTAGTCACAGTCTCCCATCCTGAGCAATCACAAAGGCAACAGTGGAAAGGAAAAGCTCCCTTTAAAAAGAAAGAAACCTCCAGCAGAACCAGGCTCAGGCCAAGCGGCCATCTGCTTTGACCGGCTGGTTTGACAGGACAGGAAGGAGAGACAAACGAACACAGAATGGTAGGTCCAGGTATAGGTCCAGGTGTACCTGAAAGACAAAAATGCATGTTAAGGATAGAAAAAAAAAATTACAAATGCAAAACAGGTTGAGCAGAGTAAGTAAAGACAGTAGCAGAGTGAAAAAATGTAGTCAGTTTGTCCTCCAGCAGTCTAAGCCTATAGCAGCAGGGACAGCTCAGGAAACCCAAGGTGACTCTAACTATAGGATTTAGCAAAAAGGAAAGTCTTAAGCCCAGTCTTAAAACTGGATAATGTCTCAGCCTCACGGACAGAAACTGGAAGTTGGTTCTATAAGACAGGAGCCTGATAACTGAAAGCTATGCCTCCCATTTTGTTTTTGGAAACTCTAGGAACCACGAGTACACCTTCAGTCTGAGAGCAAAGTGCTCTGTTAGGAAAATCTAGAACAATAAGACCTGTAATATAAGATGGAGCTAGAGTGTTGAGAGCTTTGCAGGTTAGAAGTAGGATTTTGAATTAAATTCTGGACTTGACAGGGAGCCAGTGGAGAGGCTAAAACTGGAGAAATATGATCTCTCCGGTTGCTTGGTAAAGTAGCTAACTCTCAATATTATATAGGTTCAACACTGTTTGTAGTTTTGTCGTACAGTTGAGCTTGAATGAAATCTTATGAGCCCAAAGCTTAGTTTTTAAGCAAAAAAAGTCATGTTTTTGTTAGGTCATTTCATTTTTTTTATTTTCTAATTTGACAGTCAGTAGCTCCAGATTTAATTTGCTCAAACACTAACTTGACTTTGACATCCTGCTGAGCATAAAAAACAGAGAGCATTTGTTCCAGCGGTTTTCCTCCTGGCTCTGTTATTTGAGGACAGCGGTCGAGCCAACACAAATCAGCATTTCAAATCGTGTTTCTCATTGCTTCAAAGAAAATGCATTAGCATGATGTGGGGAAGTGCATACCCCTCCAGTTTTTGACAAATGTCTCGTTTCGGTTCGACTCTGGAACTCAAAGGCGGTGCTGCCGCATGAAGCATGTGATGGAAACAGCAGTGTGTCTGTAGCCATCAGCTTTTACACGCCTGCACTGATGACCTGATTAGAAATCTAAGCTTTTGCTTGGTGTGTTTATGACTTGACAAGTCTCTGAGCTGCTCTGTGCAGTCAGTCAGCAAATAAGGAGAGATCATGTTCCAGCTGCAAAAAATAAAGAAGCTTCATGTACTTGGATTTTTGCACTTTGTTTGTGCAAGAAGGCACAATGGATCAAAATCACTTTTTTTTTCCATTACTGTCCCCCCTCAAAAAAAAAAAATGCATTACTTCTTTGTCCAATATATGTGTTGTACCCTTTGAGTTTGTGTTACTTGGTTTAACATTATAATTCTGCTAGCTTTAGAGAGAAATCTTCTTATTTTCCACTAAATAAACAACCACATTAAATAAAAAATCAGCTTCATTGGTTCAAACAAATACAATGAAGAAATTTTAGCATAACTCCTTATACTGTATATTTGTTAGTGTTGTGAACGGGTGGTCTCAGGGCTCGTTTTAGACCGTTCCCTATCTGTAACCACAGCCTTTTTGCAAGCTTGTGTCTTTGTGTTTGTCACTCCTCATTGGCACCAGACACCTTCTGTCAGACATAAAGTGGTGGTGGCAGTCATTGTCTAGACCCAGAGGTGATTGTTGATCCAAGCAATGTCTGGTTTCACAACCTCTGTTGAATCACAGGCTGCCTGGAAAAAAAGTATAATTTAATCACAGAATAAATACTGTATGTACGGTACTTAGATGATAGGATGAGGAAGTTGAGGCTGGCGTGTAATTACATAGATTCAATCAGAACTATTTTTATTTATTTTTAGTTAACCTTTATTTAACCAGGAAAATCCCATTGAGATCACATATCTCTTGTGCAAGAGAGGCCTGGGTCTGAAGGCAGCCCAACATGCATGTTTTTAGTCTGTGGGAGGAAACCAGAGTACCCGGAGAAAACCCACGCAAGCATGAGAAGAACATATAAACTCCACACAGGAAGACCCCAAGTCCAACCGAGGATTGGACCCAGGACCTTCTTGCTGTGAGGCAACAGTGCTAACCACTGAGCCATCATGCTGCCAAAAACCAGCTGGACAAAGATTTTTTTTTTTAGCTTGTGTATTTCAAGTGAATTTGTGTACCTCAATTAAACAAATTTTTACTACAAAAATGAAATACAAGAAGATCTAAAAAAAAAAAAAAAGTTGTCAGGTCCTCGGGACATGTTCAAAAAACAAAAAAAAAATGTAGAAACGTTTCATCTTTCATCCGAATGCCTTCTTTGGATGTTTTACAAGAAGAGTTCTGATATTTCATTATAAAACAAGTTATTATTTTTAACAAATTAATTATAACATAAAAAAACAACAACTTTGGAATGTTAGTTGAGAAAATCCGTTATTGCATTAGTATACAGGTAATTCATTTAGGATTTAAAATTTCAAGTTAATATTTTAAACCTTTTGTCTTACTTTGTTGGTCTGTTTTTTTTTTCTTCTTTTTTTAAATTCTAACACCAAAAATTGTACACTCAAATAAACACTCAAACATTTAGCTTTCCAGGAATTTTGTTTTCATATCTTTACACATTAGTTGCCCATTTAGTATGATACCTAGATTTTACATGACTGAAAATTGCTCCTCTCCTAAACATCAGTAGTTTCCAATTAGTCCAAGGTTCTCTGGGTGTCAGTAGTATTTTGTAGTCGGCTTCCCTCAGCCCATCCCTCACCTTCATCTGGCTGCTGACCTGTATACTTGATTGTCCTCGTAGAAGCACAAGGACCAAAAGGTAACAGCAGCAGCAGAACCCAAACACCGAGGCTCTCTGATCTGGAAGTCAGTTCTCCGCTTCATCTCTGCTACACTTTGTGTGTCAGCAGCACACAATGTGGTCTGGACCCAAGGCCTGCTGGTATACCTCCTCACTGTTACCTTTAGACAACTTATTTATTTATTTATTTATTTATGTTTTACATGAAAAAATCCAGAGAAGAGAGAGAATAGCCTTTTTTTGGCAAGGTAATCTACAGCCAATTCATGTTATTCAGATAAGATGGATAAATAGTCTAAAAGGAAATAAACAGCACACAGTCTCATCAGTTCCATAAAACTTCCTTGACCCACCTTTGTTACCTCTAGACATTTTCTGTATTGCCTCATCTTTTAGTATCCTGTTCAATAATATAATTTTAGTGGAACTATATATTTTTCTTTACCAATATCTCATTATATTGTCTTATAAATGGTGAACACTGTCTGTGTATTTTCCCATAGATTCATACTTTAAACAAGAAGCTGGACCTCAGTCATATTTTACTGTCGAAACGCAGCACTAAGGAAAAGCTGGGGCACTCACCGCATGGATCCAATGTATGTACGATTGTTTTGATGGACAGAATAGGTGGAAATGTTTTTTTTTAGTTGGTTTGTTTGTGCATAGTTTTGTGTAGCATTATATTTTTAGTACTTTGCCACTACAGTAGTCCTTCATTTATCGTGGGGGATCCGTACCCTGAAGCCCCACGATATGTGAAAAACCATGACGTTGGAAGTACAAGTAGTTAGTAGTAGTTTATTTTAGTATTTTTTTTATATATATAC